GACAAGTTTCATTGATTGTTTGTTGCTTTATTCAATTCATTGTGTGAGGGCTGAGATACTGCCCGGGTGCCCAGACCGAAGCAGGCGGTTTTCTTAAAGGACGGCCCCCCGAGCCCTTGACTTGGAGTCTAATCCCCAAGGCAGCGGAGCAGCGTCAGGAGCTGCATTCCCATGTTTGACGGTGACCCATATGGGTTCATACGCCATTTGATCCGATTGGATACTGGAACCCATGTACCCCATGGTAACTGCTTTTAGTTTAACCGCTAACCATACAACCTTCCTGACATGGTAGGACCTGCAGGGACATGAATCCCAACCAGTTTAGCTTGTTGGGTCATTACGGTATTCAAGTCCGACCACCACTGCAAGGTAGCAGTTATCGGCCGGGACTGCTGCAGAAACTTCAAGCCACTAGCTTGAGGCCCTATATTCCACTGGGAACGTGAAGGAAATAAAAAAAAACAAGTATCATCCAGTTTTGTTAAACTCTTATGCTTCTTCTTTCTTCCCTTTTTGGCGTTTTTCGGGTGTATTTTTACCAAAAGTGTTCCATTTATATGACTATTCCAGTCTCCATATATAATCTCTTTATTGATCACCTTTTCAGATATCGTTTTGTTGTTTACTTCTAAACGACCTGTAATAAAGACAATCAATTTTACTAGATTTACCATCAACATCATCGTTTTTAATTTTCTATGAATGAAGGTTTTTAATATATCCTTATTTTTAGATAGATTATGTCCAACTTTTAGGTGAAATATCTTGCATGAATTATCTGCCCCAGGATGCTAAGGGTGTATAGTTTTATGTTATAGAAATTATCATGGTTCTATCAGGAAGATGGATAGAAAAGCTGGTATGCCTGTTTTCAAAGTTATTCGGGGAATTTTATTGGACAATATTCCCACCAATAAAAGTCCCCCAGTCTGAAGTCAAGTAACACGGAGTTAATCTGGAGAGATGATATTGCAGCTGGGGCGCTCTCTCCAGAAACTTAGTGCGTCATGAAAAGCATTTCTAACAGGTCATTGCAGACTGTATCAGCAGTTGACACCTACACTGGCTGGCCCCATACTGAAGATCAAATAGCCAGCTGGCCACTCTGAAAGAATTAGCTAGAAGAAACTCTAGAGAAGAACGAACCAACCAAGAGACGATCGCTCAACAAATGTGTAGGAGGAAATGGAGATGGATGGATAGACCGTATGTTGAGGGGACCGTCAAATGACACTGCGCTCCAAGCCATTGCTTGAGTGGAACATGAATGTGAAACGATGAGTTAAGCATTTGCCCGTGGATAACATGCGGTAGATAGCTTCAGGAGGGGATGGAAGCTTAAGAAGAAATATAAACGCCGGCTGAAGAGGATGGCAGACAGTAGGATGAAGCGGAGTTGTTGCAGTCAAGGTCAATGGAATAAAGGCCACTGATTACGGTACTCAGGCACTATCTGATAATTTCTCGCAACACTGATTCAGATTACTGTTTGGATCAACAGTACACCACGTTATAGGCTGACAGCCAAGTCCCAGTGAATGGTATGGGAGCTACTAGGATGACATTCATGGTACATGTCCAAACCACTGAACCCAGCGTCTCAAAGATGACATTATTTATTGGAAGACGATCCATACCTTTTTCAAACACACATTCAGACCTCAAAAAATTTGAGTTTATGATGCTACTGGACATCAGAAATTCCAAAGGTAGAATTCTCAACTTTCCTCAGCTCGGATAGGTTAGAATTTACAGGAATCTGTGCGCTAAAGCATTATTATCTCGAACTTCAACGACTAGGCTAATGTCATGACGATACCAGATATTCCTGAGGTTGTTGTATGGTGTCGCATCCTTCACTATAGGGTTAAAGATTTCTCCCTTAATAAAGTCCGTGCATGGAATGTATTCTGCAAATCTAGTCTGAATATAACTAATGCCTATCTAGAATGACAATCACCACTGATTACTTGATTCAAGCTTATTATTATTCCGTTGGTTTCTGATTGGAACATAGGGCTTCAACAACACATCTCCAATCTGTTCTATTCTCTGCTGTCTTCTTCACCTGGCTAGCCACACGACTGCCCATAATCTCTCATCACTTCCTGCCCCTCCTCCAACTGACACGATCTCCTCTATGTCACCCTCGCTCGCACCAACCATCCACTCGTCGCTTCACATTGGGATTCCATTTGAATGATATTATTCGACGACCTTCTCAATGTACGCTAGATCCATCCTTCTCCCCTTTCTCCTACACATTTGTTGAGCAATCGGTCTTCGTTTGTTGGTTTGTAGCCAGTGATAGCATCCATGTTGCTGGTTCTTTCTGGCCGGTTAGCTGGCCATTTGATCTTCAATATGCAGCCAGCGAAGGTGTCAGCTGTTGATAAAAGTCTCCAATGACCAATTGGAAATACTTTTCGTGAAGCACACGCAGTCCAAGTTTCCGACCCGTATAGAAGAACTGGTTGACTTCATATTTGTGTTGCAAATCCGAATCTTGTTGATCATGCTGGTGAGTGACAGCAGAAGATCCACAGACTGGTTGCAGTTTGATAAACGCGTGCGTATCTTGCCTTTGCGATTCTGGCCGGCTGGCTGGCTGGCTTTGACATCTTCATCAGTTCTGCCTGTCTGTGATAGAAACCATGCATCCTGAGTGGGCAAGTGAAGGCAGGAAGTAACCTGTGTCAAATCTCTCTCGTTGATGGTGATTGGTGCTGACTGCTTCTTCTACTAGTTTGTTGGTTTTTGCGTGTAAATCTTCAAGTGTTTGTAACATAAAACATAAATCATCCGCCTCGAAATCTAGATCTTCTGGAGTCTTCTTTTCGCTCCAGCTTTGAAGATATTCGTTACGGTCGTCAGAAAAACATCTTCAACAGCGTTCGTCTATAAATGACTTAGTAAAAACTGTTGAGACTACTCATCGTGTCCTTGTGGTCAATTCATTTTCCTAGTATCCCACCTATTCGTCTCTCTAAGCCTATGTCCATGAAGTTGAATCTTTCGTCATCTTCTTGTTCCCATTCGAAAGTGATGCCTTCATTTACATTGTTGAATAACCTAAACATATATGAAGCCTGTTTCAAATGACTGGTATACAGTTAAGTTTGTCGTCTACTTGTGTATACTAAACTGTTTTTTCATCAGTTCCACGCTTTAGATTTTCCTCTTCAAGATTACCCCGTAAAAATATCTCAATAATTTAATAATTCCGATTGTAACATTAAGAACACAATATGCAGTGAAGAGACTCTTCAACGAATTTGTTATCCAACTGTACAATTGTTTAAAAATGGTGTTTCTGACAAATTATATTCTACCGATAATTTCCAAACTAGGATGAAAGAGCTGTCTGTCAGTACTCCTCCATGCTGATTTTTAATGGTTCTCTAAATGATACCAATCCATGATCAACTCGTAAAAAGAAATTTAATCAAGTGTTGTTTTGTAGGGATTTGGTTAATTGGTTACAGGATTTCATCATGAGCTGACATTAGTTAGAAAACCATTGGAAAACCAGCTGGGAGTACTGGACAGCCAGCTGTTCCGTCCCAGTTTGAGACTCTTCAGATGTACGCATCCACCACAGGAGGTTCGAACCCAGGACCTTCTGGTTACAAGGTGAGCCAGCTCGTACACTATTAAGCCACTGGGAGTCAATCCAATGGCCCATGAATTTCAACTTCTGCCAATTCACAACATAGCGTGACCGCTAGCCAATGTCTTCGGCGAGTATTTGTCCTCACACTCGACCCGCTGCACCCTATTGGTCACGACTTCCCACTGGAACCCAGGTAACCACCTACTTGAATAGGGCCAGTGGCCAGTGAATTCAAGGATCATTGGATACGGTCCCAGTGGCTTAATGATATACGAGCTTGCCTTGTAACCGGAAGGTCCATGGTTCGAAATCTAGTGGGTGCGTACTACCGATGATTTCCAAAAACTAGGATGAAACAGCTGTCCAGTACTCCCAGCTTTTTTCCAATGGTTCTCTAACTAATGTCAGCTCATGATGAAATCCTGTAATCTTTCATCTCTTTGTGGCTGTTTCTTGAATGTCAAATCATCTAACTGCTAACTGATGAAATGCTGAGAGAAATCTAATCCTTAGTAACCAACTCGTGAAAATTATATTCTATTAGGAAATTCAAACAGTTTATAAGTCATCTCACCTACAGCTTGATTGGTTGCTTATTGGGTGTTTGCACGCCTTCTAGGCTACTCGTATTTTTACTTATTGTTTCCTTGATCTGAAGTTTTACCTTTTGTGTGTGTGTGTGTGATTTTCTTCCTATAGATCAGTAGATTTGGTCTCTATTAATGCGTCTATTAACTAGTACGTTCAAGGTCACCAACAGAGATGATTTATCACCTCTTAGAGAAATCTCAGACCTCAAGTCAAATTAAAGTATGCGCTGATAATGTTGCCTAGTAAAGGGCAATGAAAGCTCAGCAAATAAACCATCCAGCTCAGAGGACACAACTTCATCAAAATCATCCACCTGAGCTACAAATCTTCTCCATTATATCTATAGAGTAGTACATAGAATGTATAGATGTTATTATGGACTGTAAAACTATAGGAAGTTTAGAACGAATAAAACGCCACAAGTTAGCATGAATTCCATAGACAATCTCTAAATAATTTTCGGGGTAGGTAGGGTGACAGAAGTCGATCAAGTGTTCTAGAATATAGCTGCCTTGTAAAACCATATTGGAATATGTCCTTATATCCATGTGGAAAGTATTCTCTGTCTAGGGTCAATGTAACTTGCTCCACAATAGCAGGTTAACTGACAGATTCATGCAGAGGTGGCCAGACGACGGAGCTTATCTTTCTATCTCATCGAAATGTGTGCTAATACAAGATCCAATGGACTACCCATCCTCTCTCTACCATCTTGGAACTGTATACTGTTGTTACATGCTAAGAGAAGTTGTTGATCCATTTATCAATTTAATGTTTCTTCTCTTGTGAATAGCGTTCATGGAAAGTTACTCGGTTGAATCATATCGCAATAGCCGTACCAGATTTAGAAAAAGCCACTGCATTTTATCGTGATGTTCTGTGTGCCACTGTGAGTGAACCAAAGGTGAGTTGTTGCGTATTATATAATTTTTCACTCCTTATTCGGTTTCTTTAGCCTATAAAAGAACATGGTGTTACAACTGTTTTCGTTAGTATAAACAATACAAATATTGAAGTAAGTTAGTGCGTTATAAGTTATATAATTTTGCAAATAATTGCATAATTAGTTAATACAACCACTTGGTGAGAATAGTCCAATCAGTAAATTCTTAGAAAATAATAAAAATGGTGGATTACATCACGTGTGCGTTGAGGTAAGTGTTCTATTTTGCTTTCTGATAATTATTACAATAATGATGTATCATTGGGGTCTGTCCCCTAGGGCTCCGAGGGGAAGATCCAGCTTCAACAACGCGTCTCCAGTTAGTCCTACTTTTTGCAGTCCTCTTAACCTGGCACCACAGTCGCCCATAGTCCCTGTTCTCCTCGTCACACAATCGCGTCCATGTGACCCTCGAACTCACGTCACACTTCTCATTTGCTGGTAGGGTTCCACTTAAGTCATGGCATCTGCTGCACGCGAGGTCATCCGATGGACTCCTTAGTGTGTGTTCACTTCTCCTCCGTTTTCTTCTTCTAACAAAATACACAGTGTTTTTTGTCATTCTTCTGTGTTCTAAATGGAACATAGGACTCGAAGCTGAAGTCCTGGAGTTTCAGAAGTGGTGGTATATATTTTCATTGGGTAAAGTTATTAGCCTTAAGCTCAAACTTCCCTATTTATCAAGCTCACCACCTTCTGAGTGAGGTTCAGGAGTGCGTTGACTGACAACTAAAAATAGACCACGTGCAGGTTGGTTGGCAGACAGTCTCCTCCTGAACCACTGACGCACACTAGAAAGCGTATGCAGCCTATGCTTTTTTTCAACGAATAGTTTTCCACCAAAATTGTGTCTGCTTTTGGAAAGGACAATAAAATTGTTCCTGTGTCGTTATCATCAAGTGGACCAAGTGTTCAGTTCAGACCTTGCGCTATTACTATTAGAGCTGGGAGTTGTTTTTTCTCCTTTATAAGAGCATGAAGGTAAATATTCAAAGAAACGTTCGGGTAGCAGTCGCTAAAAAGGTGGACTGATAGCTTACTGTGACACAAGCAAGCTGCTTGACTAATCCCTGGTTGCGTTCTTATTTTTTTGATCAGGAACGGTATTTTCTAAAGTTGTTTTGTATGGGTTAGTTTTGTTTTTATGAGTTAATCACGGATTGATATCTGTCAGGGAACCATTGGAAACCAACTTGGAGTAGGCACCCACTGCCAGGATTCGAGCCTAGGACCTTCCAGTTACAATGCAAGCAAGCTCGTATACCATTCAGCCACTGGGACCTGTATCAGTGGCTCATGAATTCTAACTCACAGTGGCTGAATGGTATACGAGCTTGCTTGCTTTGTAACCGGAAGGCCTTGGTTCGAAATCCAGTGGGTGCGTCCTGCCGATGATTCCCAAAAACTATGATAAAACAGCTGTCCAATACTCCCTAATTTTCAATGGTTCTCTAATTGATATCAATTCGTGATTAACTCGTAAAAAGTGAAACAGTATTAAACTATTTAAAATGAGAAATCCTCCACTGCTGTACTTGATCTCGTTAGTGTTCCTCACGGTACTGTTCCTCCTCCTTTTCCGTTTTATTTCTTCTTACACGACTTATTTGAACTATTCTGATGGAGCCAATTTTGTTAAGTAAACTTATGATCTGACTGTTTCTGCGCTGGAGGTTACTTCTTAGTCAGATCATTCAATTCCGTGGTCCTCGTTAAATGGTCTTAAGCTAAATCCCTCTAAATATCAGTCAGGTTGTTAATTTCACTTTCAGACTCAAGCGCATTTTAGATGGACTGGTTAGTACACATGACTCTACTATGACAAATGACACGGGAGTTGAAACTGAAACAAATGTGAAATACCTTGAACTGTCTATTTCCCCTGATCTTTCCTGAACTTCGCGCATCATCTTAGTCTCCAGAAAAGGTGCATCATGTAACATTCTACGTAAGAAAGTTAAGACAATTCGGTATCACTCAGTTAACGTCTACTTTTAAAGCTTGTTAATTCTTGGAGCATTCTAACCATTCTTCTTTATTGCTCCCTCTTAATTTTTCCCGAGCTTCTCAAGAAAGATTATGTCATATCACATAGAACTGTGAAGGCTGTCAGTAAAGTGATTGGAGTGTCGCTAGAACAATTTGTTAACGCTGTTACTTCAGATAGGCACATGGACTCATGCAAGAAGTTAGCCAGTATCATCTTGTCCGACCCTGAGATTCTTCTCCACACACAAATCACCCCTCTTTGCATCTCATCAGATAGGTAGAACTAGAAGCAATTCTAGAAGGCTATATGCTCAGACGACTGAGTAATTTGGCCAGGACATATTTTATGTTTTGAGAGAAGCGGGTTGTAAGGCCTTACATAAGTAACTTACTAAGAAACACTGAGCAAACAGCCAACTTTATGCTTTCTTTCATTATTTTATTGTTGATATTTTCACTTAATTTGATTGTATATTCATATTCACATTGAACAAAACTATCAGTATGTGTGCCTTGTTTCAATTATTACCCTTGTAATGAGAATATTAGTTGCGATACTGTACTCTATACTGAAAATTCTCCACTGTGACAAAGTAATACTTAGAGTAGAGCTATTACTATTAATTTGCCCAGCTACTGAGTTAGAGCTCGAGTTTAATGCTGGATGGTGACTGCCAGTGGAATTCGGGATGCGAATTTCGTACTATTGGTGACTCGTCAACTGAATGTACCTGTAATCCTCAATGAGTAATGAATGGTGTTCCCATCGAGTCTCGAACCCAGTGGCCATAGTTTCAAATGCCAAAGCGTTATCCACCAGACCATTTGGGCCACGAGAGTCACCTCTTGTGCAACGGATCATATTAATTATTTAAATGAATTTAAGATTTTACCGTCGATTGATTGGACCGAAGTGCTCGGTCTCAGGTTGACGTGTCAGCTTCTCGCGCAGATGCTTCGACAATCTCTGAGCATGTAATGAGAGGTTAATTGGTTGATCGCGACTAGCAGTGGAATCCAGAGCTCGAGTACCCTGAATAAACTTCTCATTTACCAGACTAAGAGACATATTAATTATGTGAAGGCTGATGATACCAACTAATTGTTTAGACTGAAGGTGGCGGGGTTGGATTTGAACTTCGAACTTATTGTCTGAAAGTCAATCGCCCAAGCAAACAAGCTCTACCTCCCCTTCTATCTACTTCTATCTCACTGAGTACTAACACTAATAACTCCATTCCTTGATATACTTTCGTACACAGTAAACAATCTTCAGTGTAATTATTTGTTTCGAATATCTATTTCCTGTAAATAATTCAATACAAATTTATGTGTAGAACTTAGACAATCTGGTGGTAAGTAATTCCACATTAGTTTGTTTATTAGATTGATCACAGTGAAACAGTTTTATTTACTGGATGACAGTTTTGGACACAATTAATTGTTAACAATCGTATCAATTATAAACACACGACTTCGAAACATGACTTTCATAGTTTTCATTCTCCTCTCCAAATTGTCGTAGGTGTAGTAGACTTTTCCACATATCTGCGACAGATATTCACACAGAAACCACAATATAGCACCTAAATTCCTACAGTTATCAAAAAAATTGATCACACAGAAAATTTTCCACATTTACAATAGGAGAAATGTCAAAAACATGCAGAATATAAAACAGAAATAATAATAATAATAGGAATAAAAGTGAAAATCGACGTGGGCTTGTTTCACACAGTATTGTCGATGCGGTATACAAATCCTAGCATGTTTAAAAATATTAAATATATAATATACTTTACACGATATGGTGAGGGGAAAAACAAAGATTAAAACAGTCATAGAGATAAGTTGGTGTTCGCAATTATGAGAGTAAAACAAAGAAGTAACAGGACCATAAATATAATAGAAATAATAAAAGTAAAACTTGAAGGTATATAATGATGGATGGAGGAAATTGTTTATTTACTAGATGAAAAAGGTGAGTTAATTCTTGCCTGACACTATTTTCACCATCACATAAAATACGTGCCAAATATGGTATCATAGAACTTTTATACTTAGACGTGAGAGAATACAGTTTTCTGAAGTTACTTCTTGTTCTACCTGAGGAGATGCAAGGTGAAAGCTGAGGGTAAAGTGGATGCTCCAAGTCAGACAAAATCCCTTTAGAAAATTCATGGCACGAAGTCAAGTGCCTATCGAAAACGACGTTAACTGTGGTCCACTGGGACACCACTCACCTCACTGACCGTCTTCAGCATTCTACGAATTGTGACATGGTCCTTTTTAAGCAAACCAGGAAAGAATAAGGGTGAACAATAAAGAAGAATAGGCAGGATGTAAGAGTTTATGAACTGTAAGAGGAGGGGTTGAGTTGTACCCGAGTGCCTTAACTTCTTAATGTAAAATGTCAGGCGGAATATTTTACCGGAGATCGCTAAGACATGGGAAGACCAGGAGAGATCAGAAGAGAGAATAAGTCCAAGCTGAAATTAACAGTTTGACATTTAGAAGGATTCAGTTTAACACCGTTAGACTCAGACCATTTGCTGACTTCCGATAGAAAGCTATTTATTTTAGTACAATCTAGCTGGGAGTTAACAGCCACTGAAACTGTCAGATCATCAGCGTACTTCACAAAGTTTATTTCATCAGAGTGAGGCAAGTCATGTAAGAAGAAAGAAAAAAGAAAAGGAGAAAGGACAGCGCCTTGAGGGACACCAGCTTCAGTAGGCAATGAAGTGGAAGACTTCCCTTTATACACGGTGTACTGCTTTCTTCCTGAGAAATAGGAATGTAACCAGTTAACAGCCCAACATTCTGCTTGACTTGCAGCAAGTTTATTTAATAAGATGTCCCTAGGGACCGAGTTAAAAGCAGATGTATAGTATAGGAAGGCACAACGAACAAGACGGTAGCTGCATCTAAAGTGCTTCTACTGTGCTTATAGGCAAATTGTTTAGGGTCATTAAAGGATTTAAGCGAAGGTACAAGACTAAGTAAAAGTAATTTCTCCATAGTTTTCAAAAAAAGGAGAGGTAATAGCAATGGGTCTAAATTTGACACATGCTCCAGTAGATGATTTAAGTATAGGTACAACTTTAATGTCCTTCCAAACGGCAGGCACAATATTACTGGAAAAAGATTTGTTAAATAGATCAGTGAGAGGGTGACACAGAATATTAGAACATTTTTAAAAATAATACTAGGTACATAATC